CACATTCATTCTTGAAGGTCGGAGATATGGGGGCTGAAATTATCCGTAACTTATCAAGGTCATTGGTGGAGAGAGACGCTCGAAGGTCATTTTCATCCATGTCAGTCGGCCATGTTGGATTGCAGTTCCATAGCTGTTCGTCTACGCGTTTGTTGTTCCGTTTATCCTGCAGTTATTCACGCCTTATCTTGTTGCGTATTGTTCATAAATGTTGCGTTTCACCTCGTTTTTTGTTTCCGTTGCCTTTAAAATGATTTATTTCTTTGGTTTTGAAAGTTTTCACTATCAGGTCAGTGCATCCATTCCGGTGTAATTGTTTCATACCTTGCAGTCATGCGTCTTTCTGTGTTTTAGTTGGTTTTCAGCTGTTAATGAATTGGTACTGTGTAGAAGTTTTGGAAATCATGCACATGAAGATGTTTGGCTGGTAGAAGCAGTTGTTTCCAGTCCATTTGTTGGTTGCAGGGCAAAGTTTAAGAATAGAGCCCCAAGAGATGCGAACGCACAATGCCCTTGAGCCGACCAATCAGAAAATAAGAGGAATTTTGCATAAAATTTAACGTATATTTACACAAAAATGCATGAAAAAAAACATTAAACGGATTATATTTCTCTGATATGACTTAAAAATACGTTCCAGATGCGATGAAGAGTATCAGTTGCTAATTTGGACTAGTTTCTGTAGATGTATTCACCAAAGAGGCTGAAGGTGTGCTGTTTTGGGAATGGTTCATCTCTCTTCTCTTGCTGTGTAGTCCTCTCCTCAGCCCTCGGTTTCGTTACTATGGTTCCAGTAAGAGCATCGGCGACTACATACAAGGGAAATAAGGATAACAAAAGAACTTGAAATAAACGAAAAATCTATTCCTAATCGCTACCCTAACCCTAAACCCTAACCATAACCCCAAAACCCTAACCATAACCCTAAACCCTAAACCGTAACCCTAACCATTGTGCCACCGACGCACACAATGACCGTATCCCTAACTCTAACCACAATACTCGCCTAAACCCCTATTCTAACCCTAACGAGATGTTAACACATTGTCAAAACAGTAATAAAAGTGTTATCTGGGTGAAACCTGCAGCTTATTTGATGAATAGGGTTGATATTTCAGCTGTGATAATGACAGGAGCCGTTAGCCAACGACTAGCATGCGTTCAAGGTGATTTGAGCGTTGAAGGTTTTGGGACGCTATTCTTAAACTTCGCCGGTTGCAGGTTTTGTTGTTGGCTCATTTGGTTATTTAACATGTAGAAGTCTGGGAAACTAATGTCTTTCACGTTTATGTCTACAGCATGCAACAATTTACCAGTAAATCTGGTGAGGAGGGCACGATCAAAGTTGATATTAGCAAGGTTCTCAAAGAACATGACTTGGAAAATTAAGAAGAAGCTTTGAAGCTTTTTGAGAATGTGAGTATACCATCAGTGTGTCTGTTATCATTTAGAAAGGCATATGTTGTGAGGGAATCTAAGTCATACGAGGTTGAGCAGCATGAAAAGTATGAATCTGTTGTGTTTGTGTGTATTTTGGGGAACTGAAAGAAACTAAACCCTTAAGGGTAAGTGTTACTTATGCTTATCATTGCTTAATGTACTAGATCCAAATACATGAACTAGGACTGCCTGTAATAGAGCCAGTGTTAACATCCATTCGATGTGTTGCAAAGCGGATAAAATACAATGATCTGGTAAGCGTACGAACTATCCCAGGTAAAGGTAAGACATTAATTAAGAAGAATAACGTTTCGGGTTGTAATTTACGATCGGTGGTTTCCTCGAAGTTGTGATTTTTCCGTGACTGTAAACACGGATGTCCATGATTTTTAAAAAAGCTCTAAATAAATTTTCCTTGAACCAGTAGTCTTCTTTTCTTTGGCAAAACATCCGTTGATACGATTATACGATTAGGTAGCGAAGTAGGATGTTCTGTGACTGAGAATCGTGGTTGTTGTGTCTCGGACTAATTTTGCGCATCTGACTGTTATAACCACGCGGATATAGCGTTTTCCTCATGGTACATTATGATATCTAGAAATCATAAGCAAGCTGCCATCGGTAAATTTATTTTTACTTTTTAAATGACTGCAAATAATGAATCGTTTGAGGTGATAGGGTGGATACCTCTGAACTTTTTTGTGGAGACTAGGGTATATTCAGTTTTTTGGAGTAGGAGACGATCTTTTCACCACGAAAGTTCTCAGAATTTCCTCTTTTGCTTCGTTATTCAAAGATAACGTTAAGTTGCACACTAAGGTAGTAGCTATAGTAGATTACCTTCAGCGGAAGCCACTCAAGGGTAACTACGTAGCTTTAGGTAATGCGTCATAGAAGTAAGCATCGTAGGTTAGTTGTGTCTAAATGTATTAAACGTTGTATAACTGACCAAACCGTAGTTCTTACATACGAGTTAGTTTTGTAAATAATGAATGTACCGTACAAGCGTTTACCTTGATTTGCATACCTAGCTCTTAAACATTATGCCTACATGTGGCATGCATTTAGGGCTAATACGCTGTGATGAATTAGTCCGAGATACTTAAAGTCAGACTTGATTTCTATATCACTATTAGCAATTTCGCAACTGTCATAGGAATTTACACCTTCACGTAACTTTCTTTTACAACGGAAACTGGAAATAACAGTCTGACATTTCGAAGGATTTAGTTTAAAAGCATTTTCTGACTCCTAATAGAGAGCTATTCATCTTAGTGCAGTACAGTACATTTAACAATACAACACTCAGTTTGAGTTTCAGCAAGCTTATTTAACAGAATATCTCTAGTTACTGGGTCGAAAGCAGATGTGTTATCTAGGAGGGTGCAGCGAATTTAGCCCCATTGTCTATACTGGAGAAAATATAGTGATGCAAGACTGCAGCTGCATCTAAAGTACTTCTACTGTGTTTATAGAAGAAATGTTTCGGATCCATAAAGTAGATATGCAAATACCGCAGTTGTTGATCATAGGAATGATGGATATTAGATAACATCCTATGATTCAACGGCATATTAGAAATAAATAAAAACGGTTTCTTAGCTCATTGTCAAGTGAACAGTCTATTTGATGATGTCACTGCATATTAACAGATTAGTGAAGCAGCTATCAAGCCTAAGTTACTACATTTACTTGTACCACATACTTGGCGTTTAACAGTATACAGACTTGCAACTGGCTAGATAAGGAGACTTTAGCACATTGAACAGTACAGAATTATTATTCAACTTGCTAAATCCCACTTAGCTTTTACGATATACTATTGTGTAGAAACAGACACCAAATCCTATTAATGACTAAAGTAACAGTCTCGTAATACTACAGTAAATCTCCATCCCACTAACTAAGCTTAGCGTTTATTATTCCTAATTCACTTATTACAAAAGCACATAGTATAGCAAGGAATTGAAAAAGTCCAGAGGAATTACAAATCAAGAGTATATTAAACATTTGATTAATTTACAAAAGAAAATTCTGATGAAGGGTATTAACGTTAGTTTGACCGAATGATGTTTCCGCTGATTTCATATTCGACAACCTCCGTATACCTGAAAAAATAAAGTACATGTAAGATTTAGCATAACATGAAGTTACAAGAGATAATTCTACATATTAGCATATACCATGAATACAATGATTCTGTCAATACTAAGTAATATCTCATGCAGATAAATGTATTTGTAGTCTACAGCTGATTTTTATGTTGACGCCGTATACATAAATAGACATCATATGTTTTCCTGTATTTGAGGATTATACGCAAATTTCAAGACAATCTCCGAAACATCCATACTATTGAGACGTCATTCTCTCATCAAGCTTACTTGCAGATCAACTTCACACTAAACACTTTTACATGAAATGAAGTATTGCAAATGTATAACTTAGAAATTAATCCACAATCTCAGTAATGTCTAGTCCACAAGGTTTTGTGAATCCTACAGAAATCACATTTTCACATTTAGGAGACTATAGGCATCAAATATAAGCTGAACATGCCTCAACTCTAAACAGCTATGCACAGTGTTAACGACATAGAGAAACACTTAAACTATTGTAAAGTACACAGACCTGTTGTGTTGATGAGGATAATAATGTCATATAATGCAAACTAGAAAATTCAATAGTCACAACGCATCTGTACTGCTTTGTCTAAATGGAAATCTCAGGAGAAATTCGTCTCCACTATTGGTGATCAAAAATATTGCAGCATTAAGTATACAGTCAGTGGAAATTGTAAAACAGACCATAGATTCATAATAATGATAATAAAGCTTAATAGATTCAGTTCTCATAATCACCGCGACTCATGCGTATAGTCATACCGTGTAATGATTTAGTGCATTAATTGGAACAGCAAGGAAACTTAAACGAGTAATTGCCTTCTCCACTGCACTGTACTTGCAATAATCGGGACAACCATCTTCGTTTGTTATCCTGTCAGTCAGCTAAGTAGACAATGGCACAATATTATTAAAGTTGAGATATTTTTGTACATTTAATTCACATAACCCATAGTACACTGCACCAATCAGTGCCAATATATATGAAATCCACCTAGAGATAACCTTTCAACTTACCATAATTCCTGTCCAACCACAGATAGAGTGAAAAGCACATCTAAATGATAACTTAGGTTCCCACAGACTATTCTGATAGCATTTGCAGGTGATTTCCAAGTACTGAGAGAATTATTTTGTCAAAAAAGACTGTTCTTCACACGAAAATAGGCTGTATTGATATCCTGTGACATGAAGTCTTAATTGGATGATACTATGCCGAAAGGTGCAGCTTCTACATGGAGTAAACGATTTGTTTAAATGGCATTACCCTCTAACAATCCTATCTTCCTCATTACACCTATATTTTGATACAGTCCGCCTGAAACACTTATCATTGCAACCCATATGCTAAAAGTGTGTCGCAGTCAGATCACATGACGCGGACACCAACATAACTAGCCAAAAATGGGAATTTCCCTCAATCTAGATAACATATAACACAATTTTATTAAAAATTATTGGCAAAAAAATTTCCAAGCGGAACTTCTGCAGTACGTGACAAATAAGTCCAGCCGATATGGGTTTACGTTTAAGTGGGTCACTGTGACACACTTAATGTTTAGCGGGACAAGAAATATGACTTTGTATGATCGCGTCCTCGATGTAAACATTGATTTTGGGGATACTCACACTACTTCCGTTTTGGCATTTGCCCTTTTTTATTCAATCGATTATGTTTTCCGAACATTTCAACCAGAAATCAAAGATGTCCAAAGTACTTATGCTCTCACCCGGTTTCGAAATTATTCCATTTCTGTTATTCATGCTGTAATATCTGGTTTAAGTTCTCTTATTTGGTGGGTTACTCTTCGTGATCGAGTAATATTTTTAGCCTTTGTGCTTACCCGGATCTCGTTTACAATATTATAGAGTCAGAAAATGTATTCGCATATCACATTATGGGGTTTGCAACTGGTAAGTAGTGAGAGCTAATTTTAATTTCAGCAGGTTATTTCGTTCATGATATTTATCACAATATTTGTGGTGGTGTGGGCCTGAGGTCTCTGGAAATTATACTTCATCACATAACAGTAATGAGTCAATTTGCATTCAACATAATTGCTTATTTAGGTTTTAACCTGCTTCTTTGTTGTGTCATCTTATCGCATTCTTGTTTGCTATGCCTTATTTGGACTTTTAATGGAGTTGAACAGCATATTTCTGCATGCTAGACAGGTTTTGATATTTTTGAATATTGCCCCGAGATCACTAGCATACCGTGTGAATGCAGTTGCAAATATTAGTAAGTCTGGCTGTTTTCCTTACTAATAATGCGTTAGCTACCACAAGTTGGATGTAAGGAGCCGTTATGTAAATTCTTCAGTGAATAGTGCCACTAAATATTTGTAGTTATCTTTGACGGCATACTATATGGCATTATTAGCCGTGGTTGTTTTCCTTCTCCATCTGTTATAGTCCTTATAATAAAGGTTTTCTTGTATTTCCCAATTAATGAAAAACAAAACGATATTGCTTTTACTGACGTTTCGCTATTTAATGCCAATAGCTTTGTCAAAGTATTATTAAACCATGTGTTATAGTGTTTGAAAAATGGCGTGTTGTCTTATTTTTTACACTGAAATGTCACATTTACCTTGAGAATCTGAGTCTTAACTATTTGTAAGTACCAGCTAGACGGAGAAACTAAGAACCTGATCTGGGCATTTGATGTTTAATTCTATAACAGATCAACCAACTAGTTGTAGGAAAAAGTGGTATATTATTATTGATGAAGTCACATTTTTAGGTTGACATTTTACTCCATGTCGTGCTGAAAAATATTCCTGTTAAGTATCAATACCACTTTTCCTCTAACTTATATCCTCGTATCAGTCGGTTGTTTATAGTGCATATTTAAGTTCATGTATATTGAAAATTTAGTCATTGATTCGTTCGAATTTAAGACCTCTATGTTATAGTGAGTGCATTGACTTTCCCGATACACCTGTGAAATATAAGAGCAGCGTCATTCAACCTATACTAAATATTTGAGTTTGGGGCGTTTGTATGTATGAACTTCGTAGTACTGTTTAATTATGTATCCGAAAAACTAATTTTCAACACCAGTCGTTGGTGTTAGTCTTCCGGAATTAATAATTTCATTTCAATCCTCAGTGGATTTTTAATTCGGTGGTTCTGTTTCATCAGGATGTATCTTACTGACTGAGTTTTAAGATTGACCTTTGCAGAGGAATACAGCACTACAAGTTACCAGACTCCATGTAGTACACAAAGGTAGAATAAATAAAGAAAAAGAGATTCAAAAGGAATATAATGAACAGAAATATGCGAAATAATGAATAGTAACATGGGGACGTTTAGTGGATATGGAGGACTATAAATAGTAATTATATCTGCGCCATTGTAAACAATTTTTAGCCATATTACCTAATCTCCAGCCATATGTTCTTAGTATCCCGAGGACCTCAACCAAGCCGTTCACACCTTTCTACGTGGCTTAAACCATCTGTCAGGGACTTCATGAATTTATGCCAGGTTAGGGTATGACCAACACTAAGTCTTTTTCAACTTGACCCAATGTCAGCCAACTTTGCCCGTCGAGGAAGGGGTGGTGTAGCATGCTCAACATGTGTTATAGAAATCTCAATCGATAAAGCTTCACAGCCCTATAGGTTGACTTCCCTTCTTTACCCAAAGTCCTGCGTCAAATCTCGACATTACTCACCTTATACCATTCAACATGGGAGACAGGACGAAAACTTCCTTAGTCGAAGACAGCAACCTTTTTACATCTTCTACTTCCACTGTACCTTCCTCACAACAATGAAGAAAGACAGAACGAACGGTTGCGTAGTACACATGTCCTTTGATCGATACCTGGATATCACATCTACGTCTGAGGTGATGTAATTTGGCAAGTGCCACACGAGTCCATGGTGAGATTTCGTCAGTTATCAGTTCATTAAGGCTGATTTTTTTCCTTCACGTTCTCAGTGGAAGATAGGGCTTCAAGCTAATGACTTGAAGTTTCTGTAGCAGTGTTTTTTCTACAGGATGGGGTTGCTAACCTCATGCCCAAACTTTCCTCTTTACCAGCATTATTTCTGGCTTAGCGTCCATAGCCGGGGATCGAACCCCGGACCATGTGCATGGTCGGCGAGCGTCCTGACCACTGTGCCACCGATGCACAGGGCTGATGCCACTTCCAAAATAAGTGAAGTGGAGGGCATGGTCAGCCACTTCACTCATTATATTTAAACTAGGAGTCAAAAGGGATCAATCCTGTAACATAATCTTATATTTGACAGGGGAGAATCTCATGCTTAACAAATTAAGATTTCTGCTCAAGGTGTTTAGAATACTGCATTTGGTTGACGTCTTCGCCTAGGCGTGCAATATTATCCACTAACTTCAAGTTAACGAAACTCTCCCTTAATAACCTATTAATTCCTAAGTTGCTAAAGTCAGTTACATCTATAGTGGGGACGATGGGCATTCCTGACGGACTCCACATGTTGTCGTCACTTCGGTGATTCTTCGATAATTTGTAGTTATTCACTATCAGTCAGTTAATAAATTGTGATACAAATTATATGTAAGAGCAGTAAGAGATAGTCTATCCAAGGGTAAGAAACCATTTACACGAATTTCACTGAGAACAACGTTTCAATGAAAGAAGTGTCTCAATTAAATTTATTTTACGTGTTCAGAATTTTACAGTTATCTATCACATATTTTTCAGTTTTCACCTTATTGACAGCATATTTTTCTAATCGATTTGCTATATTTTTCAGGTTCTTGATTACTTATTTTTATTCTTATCCCCCCGCTTATAGTGTTTATTACCATGGTAATTTACTACATCCTGTATTTTTTTCTTCTATATCTTTCCTTATGGTTCTGCTTCTCCTAAAATAGTTAGTAGAAAAAAAAAATAAATCAATCATCGTAAATCACTTGCTTATAAGTGAATGACGTCATAGAATTTTTCTCATTTTTACAGTGTAGCACGTGTTTTTGGAAGTCGAGATGCCTAATAAAACTGTTTTTATTCTATTTAATCGTAGCCATACTATTCATGGATGTGACTCTTTTATTTCCATCTTTTGGGAATCCATATGGTACTAGTTAAATGTATCAGTGACCTGGAATACGCAGATGATGATGTAGTCCTTTTTGTGAAGACACTGACAAAACACAGTTTTCTGAACACATCCGGCGAAAATCTTAGTGTGTTTGGCATAATACTCACCCCCCCCCCAACTGTGAAGTGTGGTCTGATACTACGGCAATAGTCTGCACCGACTCCTGGTTTAATGACAGGAGGCATTTTTAGTGAATACAGCTTTGGTTAGTTTACTGTCATCTGTTGTGAACAACTGGTGAACTAGGTGTTTTGTTATTTATTTATTTATCTATTTATGTGAATACTAATCTGGTATAATATGGGCGCCAAGAGACACGCCACAGCTTAAATACCTAGTTTGCTTGATCGAGTATATTCGTTTTAAATTCAGCTCTTTTGGAAATTTTCAAGTATTGGTTTTTGTAGGGATTGTGTTTGATTGGTAGGAGGGTTTCATCATGAGCTGATATCAGTTAGAGAACCATTAGAAAACCTGCAGGAAGTACTGGACAGCTGTTTCACCAGCCCCTTTTGGGACTTTTCAGTAGTACGCACCCACTGAGGTTCGAACCAAGGACCTTCTGGTTATAAGACAAGCGAGCTCGTAGACCGTTAAGCCACTGGGACCAGATCCAATGGTCCTTGAATTCTAACTTTTGCTAATTCATCACATAGCGTGACCACTTCACAATGTCTTCTTCGATGAATTATTATCTCACCATATTAGATGGTTGGAAGCAATCGGCAGGCAACCTTGGATCTAGTGATAGTTGGTACTATTCGTCAAGGTGTATCTGCAACCTTGAACGAACTCATGTCCCTTCTAAGATTTGAACCCTCATCATATGCATCTGTTTGGTGCCTTTCTGTTGAATAAATGTTTTTATTAAGGAAAATAAGCTATATGTAGGTTTTTATAAAAGTAGCAAGAAATTACTGATGAAACATCCGTCTCACTATTACCAAATAAAACGAAAGTATATGGAATTCTTTGTCGTTAAAAGATATTACCGAAAAGGTGTTTATTGGTAAGTAGTTAGGGCGCAAAACCCACTGGTTTATATACTTCATTTTTAGTTAGTCTCATGTGTCCAGACTTTCCTACTTCTAGATTAGCTCGAAAACGAGTGAAATTCTCACTCGGTAGTGAAGGAAATCTATGCCAGCCAAACTACCAAAGAAGGTTGAATTAGGCCTCTTAAAGAACTAGTGTGGAGTCATGCTCTTGTCCAGGCCAAGCCAAGCCAAATATTAAGTTGCGTCATTCCGCATGGACTAAAAGATTCATTGGATGCAGAATTTCATAAGGAACAAGCTAAATTCAAGAAAAGCAAATCATGTGCAGATCAAATCGCAACTCTACGCATCATCATCACTGAACAGAGCATAGAATATCAGTCGAATGTCTACCTCAGTTTCATTGACTTTGTAAAGGCTTTCGACAACGTTGACCATAAAGTAATTTAGAAACTATTGTAACACTCTGGATTACCCAGAATCTTTATCAGCCTCATTCAACAGCTGTCTGAGAGCACCACATGTCAACTGATTCACAGTGGAAAACTCTGCGAAGTCTTAAAGTGAATAAAGGAATGAAACAAGGCTGACTACTGCCACCGATGATATGGTCAGTTGTGGCGGACTGGGTCATGCAGGCCACCGTGTTTGTGAGTGAGAAGACTGAAATACGCTGGAGTGATAGTGAGACCCTAGAAGATATGGACTTCGCAGACAATTTATGCCTAATGTCGTACAAACTCGAAAACTTACAGGCGAAAACCGACAAGCTGGTAGAGGAAGCAGGCCTCGAGAAATGACTTCAAGTGAACATAGAGAAGACAAATTTTGTGTAGACAACCAGCCAACAACAAAACGTGGCAGTCACTATCGATGATAGAAGTTTCGAACGAGGTCACTTCTTTTACTTCTCTAGGCACCTTAGTTTCAACTTCAAGCAGCAACACGGACGACGATGTCAAAACCACTCAGGATTGGGAAGGCAAAGTAGACCTTTGTCACTCAGAAATTAGTGTGGAAATCTTGTGTTCTCCGCAGCATAAACAACAAAATTCGGTTTTTCAAAACCAATGTCAAGTCAGTCAGTTGTTGTCCATGGCTTAAAAACTTGCCCTACGCGTCACGAAAAGCATTTCCAACTGGTGTATGCATGCTTATCAATTGCTTACCCTTCTGGCTCCATATTGAAGATTGGATGGTCAGCCAGATACAATTAGAAATAAAAACAACTCTGGGGATGAACCAAGAACCTGTTATTCGAAAAATATAGTTAAGAAAATGACGATCAAACAAACACTGAGGAGGTCGTCGAATGATATTGTGTCAGGCTATCGCTTGAATGGAATCTTAATGGGTAACGGCGAGTTGGGCATGTTTCCATCGGTGACATGGAGGAGGTTGCAGGAGGAGGAGGAGGAGATAAGAGTCCATGAGCAATAGTGCAGCCAGCTAAAGAGGACTGCAGAGAATAAGGCGAAGTGGAGATGTTCTGTTGACTCCCAATGTTCCACTTGGAAACCAAGGGAACAATAGTAATATAATAATAATAATACCAATTAACTGATTAGTGCTAGTAAACACCAATAAAAATTGTGGGCTGCATTCGTGGTGCAGTGAACCCTGCTGTAGAGTGTGAAATTGCATATTATATTATTGTCTACCAAGTGCATCTGTTTAAGGAATATAATGTTGTATTATGTCACACCACAAAGCGGTTTACCTTGGTGAATGTGGGCTTTTCGGAAAATTTCATTTCCATTCATTATAATTAATAATTTTATGGTCATTTTCCAGTAAACTATACCTTACAAAATCAAAATCAAGTGTGAATTAGTTGTGTACAAGTGATCATCGATTATTTCCATCAAAATTTGAATAAATCTGTTAGATGTATGCAATTTTTCCTTTTTTTAAAACTCTGTCATTGCTCAGTAAACTGTTTATCTTGTATAACCGTGTTTATGGCTGTGAGTGAGATATGGCCATTGAAAGTGGAAGACAAGGAAAAGCCTGGCTAGCCGTCTTTCACCATAGGTGTCTCCGTTCTATCTCTTGTGTTAGGTGGTGTAATAGAGTGATTCTTATTGATGTGACGAGGGAAGATCAATCGATGTTGTAGTGACGCTCTATCGGTTGAGATGACTAGGAAATGTGTTACTCATGCCTAGCCACATCGCCTTCCTCGACAACAGGGAATGTTAGCTGACATAGGATCGTTCCAGTTGGAAAAAAGCTGCTAGTAGTGGTCTGACGGAAACGTGTAATCAATACAGGAAACCTTTGACAGTTAGTTTGAGCTTGACACGTGAGGAGATGTAGTTAGACTGCTCGGCTGATTAGAGTTCTCAGGATATTAAAAACCCAATAGCTGGAGACCGCTGGTAATATGGTTGAAAATTCGTTCTCAATGGCTCAGATGCATTCATCATCGCAGTTGTTTTTACCTGTTACTATTCTTTCTCTTTCATATTTCTGCTTACTGCCGTTTTTTCTCTCTTTTCTCTTCCTTTGTGTGTGGTGTATGGAGTGTGACAACTTGAAGTGTTGCACATCTGTGCAAAGTCCCATTTTGAAACCAGTCAGTATGATCGTGTCGAGGACAGAAATACATTGTACTTCTGTTTGATTGTTAAAAAGGCTGTTGTTTCATATTTCATCAAAAGTCTCATGACCTTAAGGTATTTGATAAACGCTACAACTGAGTACTTCTATGCTTATCTTTTTTTGTGTTTCATTACTATATATTTTCTTCAGTGAAGTGGCTGAACTAATTACTGTTTCATACGTTACTAGAAAGACACATAAGTGCTACCTGCAACTATGATTTTGAGGTGATTTACAGGATTCGAGTTATGCTTCAGTCCACTTCTTAGTTCGAAGCCATGCGTCTTCCATGTTTCAGCAAACGAAATAATCAACATCCTTGAAGATATCTCTTGTTTTGTTTTTTTCTTTACGAAGTATTCTTGTTGGTATAGAAGTATAAAATCAGTTAACAAAAAGAAATGCGTACCTTCAGCAGTATTATAATTATGTTCCTAGTGGAACATACGGCTTCAACTACACGTCTCTACTTGCTTCTGTCTCCTTCTGCTGTACTTTTCACCTGCATCCATCTTAGTTCATACTGTTTCAACTCCTCTTCACACGATCTCTTCCATGTCACCCTTGGACATCCCATTCGCCGCTTCCCTTTCGGGTTCCACTCGAGCGATGGCCTGTAACCCGAGCGCGATGTCACCCAGCGGCCTCCTCCTCAGCGAGCGAGTGTCTAATCCATCTCCACTTTCTCCTGCATATTTGTTGGTTGGCGATTGGTTCTTGTTTTGTTCGTTTGTTCCCATAGTCTCTTGTTGGTGATTCTTTCCGACTCGGCCATCTGATCTTCAGCATAGAGCGAAGACAGTTGTTGATGAAGGTCTGCAACAGGCTGTTGGTAATATTCTTTGTTCGAAACGTCATCCAGTAAATAATACTGTTTCACTGTGTGATACATCTAATAAACAAACTAATATGTAATTCTTTGTGACCCGCCAAGTTTCTGATCCGTATAGAAGAAGTGACTTCACGTTTGTATTGAAAATCCGAATTTTGTTGTTGATGCTGGCTGAGTGACGAAGATTTCCAGATTGGTTTCAGGTTGATGAGTGAATGTGTTTTACGCCTTCCCGATTCTCGATTTGACATCCTCGTCCGTTCCGACTTCCTGTAGTTGAGATAACGCTCCCTAGATAAGTGAATGAAGTAACCCCTTTCAAACCCCTCCCGTTGATGGTGATTGGCGCTGGATGTTGCTGATGTTGTTGTTGTTTTTGGTTGGTTGGTTATTTTCACAACCTCCGTCTTGTCTATGTTCACCTGGAGTCCTGTCTTCACTACCTGCTTCTTCGACCAGTTTGTCAGTTTTCGCTTGTAAATCTTCGATTTTGTGTGGCATCAAACATAAATCTTCCTTGCGCGAAATCCATGTCTTCTGGGTTCTTCGCGTCGGTCCAGGATATCCCTGTCTTCTCATTTCCCACTTACCGTATGACGCATAATCCAGTTCACCACAATTAGGAATATCATTGGTGATAATAAGCACCCTTGTCTGACTCCTGTGTTTACTCCAAACGTCGGTCCTCCAGCAGTATAAGTAAGGGAAATTGACAAGTTATTCAATTTCGTCTATAAAAATAATTTTTACAAGGGATGTGTGATGACGTTCAACCTTCTTACTATGTATGTTGTTGTATTTTTGTAATTGTTGTCCGAACTGAAATGCGTGTTGTTGGTGAGTAATAAGTTCACTGGTGGAATCCTTCACTGAACCTTTCATAACATGTAGAGAACAACATTAATTACCTCCTTTATTGTCGCAAAAAATCTTTTTATTTCCCAGTGAATGAAAAATAAAATAAGTCCACAAAGAGATTTCTTTCGGTAACTTCACTTCAGATCTGTTCATGCATTGCAGATTGACAACAGTGGTCAAAAGTTGCTGTCAATTAGTAATAAAGCCAATCACAGGGTTGACAACTAAATCGATTGAGTGACGAATAATCGTTTGAAAGTAGTTGATAAAAGTGAAAATTAGTCGTAAATAAAAACAGAGTACATAAAGCTTAGTTTACAGCTAGTAAGGAGGTCAGAGAAGAAAGCAAAAAAGGTACTAACCACATGGGTAGTAAACGAGGCTGGTTGAAACATTTCTCAACACAAAGTTCAGCTTTCTCCTTAAGGATTGCTAAGATGTTTCCTCTGCATGAAGAAGACGGAGAAATCCCTTCGAATAACTCGATCGTACTGTATACATATGACTCTGCTGGTGCTGCACGATTAGAAGTAATCATATGCCCCAGAAGTGGGCTGTTGACTGTTCTACATTCTCCTTAGACAGCGATGCTGGTAAGTGTTCATGCGCACGTGTAGACAATGTCCTGCTTGTACAAACTATGTACTTGGATATATTTTATTTTTTTACTGACGTTTCACTATTCATTAAAAAATAATGTTACTTGCTTCATTTTTCCCCTTTATTTTCTATAGTTACTTTTATCATCTTTCGTATATGCCTGACACTATCACTTTTCGCTTGGGCAATTCTAAACCGACATAAACTACCAGTTGTTGTCAGTTGGATTCTAATTTCTAGCTTTACTATATTTACAATCATGAATTTAGTTCTATTCTGGCGTGTTATAACAGCTGAACAACGTATCTTACAATCAAGTCAATGTAAACCAACACTGGTGAATGGGAAAACCGAGTAATTTTAATTAATTAATTAAGATTTAAGTGCGTTTATCCGTACATTCTTATTGTACTCAGTCTTCGATTCCACATTCGATAGGTATATATATATATATATATATATATATATATATATATATATACCTCCTCTTTTACTGTTGTGTAATTATGTCTACTTTGATGTGTAAATAAACTTAAGCGAACGTCATCAGTGGTGGGAAGTTGTTTTATCCCACAACTGTTCCTGTTTGTTTGTTTGTTTTTCTTCTTTGTCTACGAATGTTTCTTCCTCACGTCTTTCATAACCTGTGTTCAAATTTGTACTTGTCCACTACTCGTGTGTAAACAGTCTTAGTGATTAATTATTACTGTTATAAATTAACATTGTTATTAATTAGTATTAGGAATTATACTATTAATCATCATCGCCGTCGTAGCGATTAAACATCACCATACCAATTCATAACCAGTGAGCGCTCTTTCTTATCTATGTATTCAGTTGAGTTCCGCGTAATTTAAAACCTAAATAAACAGGAATTTACCGTCGATGGATTACTCTGTATGTAATTCAATTCTATCAATATTCACTTCTTGTTGCATTTTGCACAAATCTATTTTTTTGAAATTGCACAATACTGTTACCACCGGCACTTGGTACCATAAAATGGTGCTAGCTATTATTATTACTATTACTATTGTTTCCGATTATACGAGGGAAACACTGGCTTCATAATGTCACCATATATTGCCACAATATATATATATATATATATATATATATATATATATATATATATATATTTGCTTCAATGTAATTTCATATCGATGTGATAAACTCACCAATAAATAAATAAATAAAAATGATATTGATTATGAGAATTATTTGCCTTTGAGTCAGTCATATGTAAAAAGAGAAGATATTCAGCGAAGAGACTCTTTTCGACGGCGAATTCATTCACAATATAGCTGTACAATCGCACTTACATATTATTATTATTATTATTTGTGTGTGTGTGTACATGAGGTTTGTCGAGTTAAGATAATAATTGATCAGGTAATAAAAGAATGATCTAATATAGAAACAAGGTTAATTAGACAGCAACCAAAGCAAGATTGAGCTAGTTAGTAAGTTAGATGACGTAATATAATTGACTAAAATGTTTCAATTTAGGTCAGCGTAGCAACAGCAGAGGTAATTACATGTAGAGACTAAGCAGAAGTGGGGTAGAGAATAGTGCCATTTAAATTAGAACTAAAATTGAACAAATAAGTTGGATGACGTAACATAAATGACTAGAAATTGAGCGTTGGTCAAGTCAGTAACAGTGGTAGTGAGGTGCAGAAATTCAATCGGGTGAGGGTAGAGAACAAGAAAGTTGAAAATGTAAAATATATTTCAATTGAGAAGAAAAATTAATACTAATGAAGAGACAGAAGAAAAAAAATTAGATAGAATTTACCTGTCGAGTAGTAAGATAGATTACGTCGATTGCAAGTGTAGTGATTGGACGAACGTCTTCTGTATTCAGAGTTCCAAACTTAGCAAGTGAATTGCCATTGCTTCTTCAGTTTAGAGAAGTCTGATTCGTACACATCTTTAGGAAGACCACTTCTAACTCTGTAGACGACTTTGAAGTTTTTTTTGGGTGTAGCTTGGTGTCCGGAATCTATCAGATGTTGTAAGATAGAGCTGTGGGGGTGGGGGATCGTTTTTCTCCTTTGTAAAACCATGCATGCTGTTAAGTGTTCGGTGATAAGTTTGGAAAGCGAACGCTGGGTACAGCCGACATACCTGGCTCCATATGAGCAGGTGAATTGATAAATACACATTGATGAGGCCCTTCTGTTTCACTGTAAATCTGTACAGTCGAAAAATGGAAATCCCAAAGCTTCGATGGTGTAGAATAGTCAGAATATATATATAAGTTTTTTTCATCAAGCTAAGACTTTCCAAAATCCATGCGACTTCACATTAACTGCTATATGCTTTACCGATGGACAGAAGGTTGTCAACAACTGCTAACCACCAATAAGTTGATGTCCTTTTTCAGTCAGGTGTAGTGTCAAAAACAAACGAAATGCGTGTAATTAATGATTTGTAAGACGACAACAAGAAAGATAATTAAAAAAAATTTAATATCGTACAAAAACCCTCGAAAAGTGTCTGTGTGTCGATAACATTTCATTTCTGTGCGTTAGGCAAGTTATTCTTGCTTTTCTAATAATATTCACCCAATGTTAAATGAATGCTTGGCCGTGAAGGGAATGCCGAGAAAATACATTGCACTGATCAAGTCACTCTACTCGAACTCAAGCAGCCAGGTGAGGGCTTACGGCGAGTTGTCATCTGAAGTGGTGAAAACTAGTGGTGTCCGTCAGAGATGCTCACTGTCCCCATTTCTATTCAAATTCATCATGGATGCACTAATAGGATTAACCCTAACTGCTGACTTCAGCGACTCAGGGATTGACTTGCTACCAGGCTATGAATAATCTCGTTGACTTAGAATATGCAGACGATATAGTTCTACTAGGCGAGAATGCTGAAAAAATGCAGAGTCTTCTAAACACCTTGAGCTGCAATCTACGAATGTTTGGCATGCGATTCGCTCCCGCCAAATGCAGGATGATGTTACAGGACTGGGCCACACTGACTCCTAGATTAGAAATAGGGAGTGAAGTGGTAGAGCATGTTGACCACTTCACTTATTTGGGAAGTATCATCAGCCAGTGCCAACGGGTTGATCTCTGACGAAATCTCAGCACGAATACAGAAGGCTAGTTTCTCATATGCCAGTTTACGCCGTCTCTGGCGTAGACGTGATATCCGGCTATCAACTAAAGGATGTGTGTAGTGCTCATCAGTCCGCTCCTTCCTCCTTTATGGCTGTCGGTGAGACCTGGGCATTGAGAGTGGAGGACATGGAAAGATTAGCTGTCTTTGATCATAGGTGCCTGCGTGAAGTGGCATAATAAGGTGAGCAATATTGAGGTTAGGCGTTGGTCGAGTGCTAGGTAAGGAGGGGAAATCGATCGACGAGGCTGTGAAATTACATCGGCTGGGATGGATAGGACATGTGTTACGTATGCCTAGTCATCGCCTTCCTCGACGGGCGCAGATATATCTACTCCCTGTGACTTATGATTTCCAATGAAACTATTTTCTTTTCCGTTATTACTATTCCTTTGTCTCATATCTGTCTTTACTGTCTCTATTATGCATTTCTTTTACTTTTTTCTCTTACTTTGTGTGCTACAAGGAGGGAGTGTGGCGACTTGAACTGCCGCACATATGTGCAAATTTCTATGTCGCAAACAGACAGACAGCGACACAACTACTATTAGAATCTAAGTAGTATACTTTGTGTATTTTTTATGCTTTTAAAGGTCTGCTTGAAATCAGTCTACTGAACTGAATTGTCATCGTTGAAGTTTGTATAAAAGTGAAGTAATTCAGTTCTCCATACTTCATAAAATTTTTAAAAAAATAATGCAAATGTATGAGAGAAGGAATAACTATTAGGGAGAGAATCATGACAGCTTAATAGATCTGAGAGTTCATAAAGAGTGAATGCACCACTGAGCGTCATGTCACCATCAGTCTCTAGCCATAGGTTCTTAGCATTTTGAAGACCTCCAACCAGACAGTCTTCACTTACCTATATGACTTGAATCAACAGTCAAAGGTTCACCTGATTGATGCTACGTTTTGATTTGACCAGCCGTTACTCTTTTCAACCTGATCGTATTTCAGCTTACATTATTTGATGAGGAAGGCAGTGGCTTAGTGTGCGTAATAAATGTACTAGCCATTTTAGTCAATGCCTGTTCAGAACATTATCGATTAAATTCCGCCCCCCCGCCTTATTACACATCATAACAGTCAGTCTAAAGTTTAATCTTAGCTGTCTACTCATTTTACGGATACTTTTCACAGTTCAACTACATAAGGCCTAAGAATACACCTTGAAAGAAGTTTGTTTGTATTATATAGGCAGATAAACAATGGATTATCCCTTATCGATGATGTGATGATTAAGGTCAGTCTGGAAATAAGCCAGTCAGGACTGACCTGCGTAAAGTAGCGTCCACTATTTCATCGATTACAGTTATAGACTAGTTGACATAACCCTTACCATTATTTGAATCATGCATTATTGTGTGTAAAATCTATTGTGGTTGATACTGACATTGTTATGTGTTCTTAGTTAAGGGGAGTGGGCTGGGGAAACAGGTAACTGTCGTATAATATTGCCTGCGTAGTCATACGGTACTCGTGATCACTGCGTCTGTGTCCGATTTGTCATCCCTATACAAACTCAATGTTATAGCGAAGTACAAATGTGGTGACATCATAACAGTGTGTTCCATATACTCAAGTATGGAGCTATTTCTTCAGGAGCACAAAATTGATTTTAAAATGCATAAAGATGCCTAACGCAGTCAGCCGTCGTATTACCTAACTTGGAATTTGTTACTGCCTAAAGACTTATCTTACAACACAGAGTCCCGGAGTATCATTTTCCTGCTAACTAAAGTGTAGCGGTATTTAATTCCCCGAAATTATATTAGCCTACAGTTTCCATCTCATTGGGCAGTTGATTGGTGGTGTGTATCTTACACTGTTTGATCGTCATCAAATCCTACCAAATAGTGTAAGATTAGCCTACAGTATTCATCACTCAACATTGGATGCTAACATTCATTGTTTAAGTTGACTGATTATCCAGAAGGCTGATGATCAAGCATCTACACCATTTCAGTATGCTGTCGTGTTACGTTTGTTCGTCCGTTCATTCGTACATGATCCCTAGCTACCTAAGCAATCATCCTTTCACCACAATTTTGACCCTGAAATATATCTCGTATTTTCGGACTATCATTGATATAAGTATAAAACTTGGACACTGTGGTAAAGTATAACTCCATTATAGACAAGATTTTATGTTGACAAATCACACAGTATTTTTATACAGTAATATTAACTGACGACCACGTTTCGAGCACAAACCATTGCCATTCATAATCATATCAAATTACTCACACAACTTTCTCCTTCATTTATATACATGTGTGGAAATCATGATTAGACATTTGAATAAAAATCAATATGGGATAATGCACATTCAGAAATAATAATATGAGTGTTATTGATCCAATACAATCAGATGGGAAATAAGACGAGTGTTTTTATAGTCATAATAATAGGTAACTTGTTAGAATGTTGTGATGTGGTTGAATTGAAATAGAATTTTGAGATTATTTATTATCCTCCTCTGATTTGATTGGCGGTAATGATATCTTCAATATTTCTGGTATTTGCATTCAGTGATTTCTGTTGCATGTGTTGTGTTGGTTGTAGACTCGATGAACCAGGCAGGATTCAGTAATCAACCTCTCTCCATCTCCACTTACATAGATTACATCTCAGAATCCTAACCATCTCCCACCCACCATATTGTGTGGTTGTGCGTTAATTCAAGCAGTGCAATCGCTGAGCTTTTTTTCTAAATTATTTATCTTCTCGGAGTCAAGCATTCTACACTTAGCTAAATTCTTATGTTCCGACAATATTACTACCCCCGATCTACTAGTTTGATAGTCAATCTGGTGTTTTGATTTGCCTTCTGTTGAGGTAGAACAAATAATTTAGGGATTGTGGGACAGGAATTTGCGTTAGTTTTTATTGTAATTCGTGTAAACGTCAACCCCCTTCATCACCTAAGCAGGAAATAAAGTTGCAGAAAGTTTTGATAGGGAGTAAATTTATTTCTGC